GGGGTTTTAGCGGGTTTTAGGGCTTAAGCCCTAAAACCCAAACCCTAAACCCCAAATGCGAAACCCTAAACCCTAAACCCCAAACCCCAAACTCTAAACCCTAGACCGTCCTCGAACACCCTAAAGCCCCAAAGACGAAAGGTCCGCCCCTGGTGCGCAACCTGCCGCCTGTGGCTGGGCACATCACCTGGTCGCGCCACCTGTACAGGCAAGGATGTGGTGGTAAACCATCAACCCTAAGACCTAAGCCCTAAGCCCAAAACCCTAACCCCAACCCTATAAACCCCAAAGCATCCTAAAATCCCTTACGCAGGGTCCCAGGGTTGCTCTTGGGGCTCAGATCATGGGTTGTTTCGCTGCAGCTGGTTTTTGATCGTTTCCTGCGCTCTGCCTCTGGTGCTTCTTAGTGAACCCGAGGCTGCACTCAGAGGCCTAATGCCCAAAAACCTGAAGTAAAACCCCTTATCCCCAAAGACCTCCGAAACCTGAAGCGCGAAGCACTGAAACTTAGACCCTCAACCCTGAAACCCGAGCGCCTACATTTCACCAAACCCGAAGCCCTGAATCCTAAGTCCTTAAGGGCACCCTAAACCCAAACCCTAAACCCTAAACCCTCAACCCTCAACCCTCAACCCTCAACCCTCAACCCTCAACCCTCAACCCTCAACCCTCAACCCTCAACCCTCAACCCTCAACCCTCAACCCTCAACCCCAAACCCTAAACCCTAAACCCTGTGCAGGCGAATTGAGGGCCCAATGCAGAAGTTCCAGACGAACCCTGCAGTGTTGGCCGCACGGCTCGTGTATTATGTTGGTGAGTGGCACGGTCTTGCGGCTAGGGTTTAGGGTTTAGGGTTTGGGGTTTAGGGTTTAGGGTTTAGGGCTTCGGGCTTAGGGTTTAGGGTTTAGGGTTTAGGGCTAGAGCGGGAGAATCCTCGGCTGAGGCTGGAAGGGACTCCCGAAAGCTCATTCGGATGTACAACAAGATGGCCAAGACCCTGGTGGAGTTCGAGACCCTGTGGTACCAGGCTCCTGAGAGGGCTTCTTGTAGGGTTTAGGGTTTAGGGTTTAGGGTTTAGGGTTTAGGGTTTAGGGTTTAGGGTTTAGGGTTTAGGGTTTAGGGTTTAGGGTTTAGGGTTTAGGGTTTAGGGTTTAGGGCGTGGTGGAGTTCGAGACCCCGTGGTACCAGGCCCCTGAGAGGGCTGAATATTGGGGCCTAAAATAATTAGAAGAGGGTTTGGCGGGGAGGATTATTATAGTATAATCACCTGTAAGGGAATCTGTTAGTAATTATTCCCTGAAATAATTAGAAGAGGGTTTAGGGTTTGGGGGGGGGGGGGGAAATAGTATAATCACCTGATAAGGGAATCTATTAGTAGTTATTCCGACCCCTATACTAGGGTTTCGGGCCGGTGTGAGGGTCTGGTTATCAGGATTTAAGGGGGCCATACGTGAGCCCTCAGAGGGCGACCCTACTTGTAACTCCAAAAGGGGCCCAACCCCAAGGCCAAAAACCCTAGGCCCTAAACCCTGGTTTAGGACAACCGGACCCAGATCCGAAACGCGATGCCGTGGTAGGGTTGTCCCCTCTCATGCCTCTAGTTGGTGTCCTTTTGCCAGGGCTTTAGGGTTTTGGTTTCGGTTCAGGGTTTCGGGTTTAAAATCAGATTTGTGTGCAATGACAATAAAACCATAGGGGTGTTTCATGGTGTTTAGAATGTTTGTTTTGGGGGGTCCGACGAGCTTATTCAGCCTCAGTTGACTGTGCTGCGCGCAAGCAGACATGCGTCAGGCACAACAAAGGTGGCAACAAGACAGAGCAGGTGCAGTGACAGTGACATGGCAGTGCTCTAAACTGGAGACCCGTTTTGGGGTTCCTATTGCTGTATAGGGAGCGCTCGTATTCTGAAAAGAGCTGCCCACACTTGTGCCACAGCCGGGATGGAGGGGCAGGCGCCTTCGGACCTCGAGTTAACCGCCGTGTTCGGAGGCAGCGGATACCTTGGGCAGGCCGTGGCACGTCGGCTTCGTGAGCTTGGAGTCCCGACCCTCATCCTCGACATGCAGGCCCCGCCCTCGGACATCCCCGGGGCAACTTTCGCCCAGTGCGACATTCGCGAAGCCGCGCGCGTCGCCGAGCTGCTGAAGGGCGTCAAGACGGTCATCCACGCGGCAGGCTACATCGACATCCGGCGGTGCTTCCATCCCACCGCCAGCCGTGAGATCAACGTGCGGGGCACACGCAACGTCCTGGAGGCTTGTCGAAGCGCCGGCGTGCGTCGCCTGGTCTTCGTCTCGACTTCAAACGTGCTCATGGCAGAGAGGGAGTGCCTGGATGTCACGGAAGAGAGCCCGGTGCCCCCCAACCCCTCCACGGAGTACAGCCGGACAAAGCTGGAGGCCGAAGCCCTGGTTTTGGCCGAGGCGCGCCGTGCGGAAGGCCTGCTCGTCACGGTGCTGCGGCCGCCGTGGATCTGGGGCCCTGGCGATCGGAACTTCTGGACGGTGGCGGGCAACCCGCTGCCCCTAAGCATGCGCACCGGCTACTGCCAGGGCATCTACCTCCGCAATGCTGCCAACGCCCTGGTGCATGCGGCTGCGCAGCTGAAGGACTGCGACGCGCCAGCTCACGGCCAGGCGCTCTTTGTCAGGGATCCGGTAGGCGAGTCTGGGGATGGCGGCTTGCTGCACTGCCAGCGCCTGTACCGGTGCCAGGTGGCTGGCCGGACGGTGTCTTGGTAGTTTTTGTGGGACCCTTTACCCTTGCTTTTCTTCGGGGCTCAGGGCTCAGGGCTCAGGGCTCAGGGCTCAGGGTTTAGGGTTTAGGGTTTAGGGTTTAGGGTTTAGGGTTTAGGGTTTAGGGTTTAGGGTATCCAGCCAAAAAGGGTCCCCTTATGACAGTAACAATATGGTTACTGGGCCACCAAGGTGTTGGAGCAGTGGGACATCCCTTTCGCCGCTCTGCTGTGGGCCGCTTGGCTTGCAGACCTCCTCTGCCGCGCCCTGTGGCTTTGTCATAGTTGGGTACCATTTTGCATGTTTAAGGGTACCTAAACCCTAAACCCTAAACCCTAAACCCTAAACCCTAAACCCTAAACCCTAAACCCTAAACCCTAAACCCTAAACCCTAAACCCTAAACCCTAACCTAAACCCTAAACCCTAAACCCTAAACCCTAAACCCTAAACCCTAAACCCTAAACCCTAAACCCTAAACCCTAAACCCTAAACCCTAAACCCTAAACCCTAAACCTAAACCCTAAACCCTAAACGCCAAACCCTAAACCCTAAACCCTGAACCCTGAACCGTAAACCCTAAACCCTAAACCCTAAACCCTAAACCCTAAACCCTAAACCCAATTATCCCAACCATGAACTAGGTGGTTTCTTTTCGGAGTGCAGCTGCAGCGGGGCGACGGCTTCACGGAGTATCTGAGTCCGCAATTCAATCTACCTTTTTTTGGGGGTTGCACTGTGAGGGGCGAGCAGAACCAAGTTCTATATTGTTGGGCTAAATAGCCGAGACCTAATTTGTTCGTTGGTTCCTCTGGTTGTGCACCACAAACTGCAGGGGTAACAAAACTTTCAAACGTTTGGTATTAGGGGCCCTGAACTCTAAACCATGGGCTCCATAGGCACACGATGTGGGCAAAACACCCTAAACACCCTATCAACCATAACAGCCCTGTAACCCCATCGACCCCCCAAACCCCTATAGCCCCCCTGACCTTAAACCCTAATACTTAACACTGAACCCTAAATACCGCCCAAACCCCTGTAACCCCTTGAAAACCTTAAAAGAACTCCCTATAAACCCCATTAACCCTATAAAACCTCAATGAGGCACTCCAACACACGTAAACAGGGGTAGGTTTGAACATAATCTTCTAAACTTGCCCTTAACCCCTATATAATCGTTATAAAGCCATATCAATTTAATTTTTTTGGGGCCCCAAACCTACCGCAGTAAACCTCCCAAGGAACCCCAACAAGTGCCATACGAACACGATGTGGGCTAAACGCCTTAGAAGATTTTAAACCCCCCTATCAACCCCTGAACCCTAAACCCTAAACCCTAAACCCTAAACGCTAAACCCTAAACCCTAAACCCTAAGCCCTAAACCCTAAACCCTAAACCCTAAACCCTAAACCCTAAACCCTAAACCCTAGGTACGCGATGTGGGCGGCTTTCGGGCACCACACCTTCTCCGACCGCAAGGCCCGGGAGGTGCTGGGCCCCTGGCCCGAGGCCCGGAGCTGTCTTGTAGGGTTTAGGGTTTAGGGTTTAGGGTTTAGGGTTTAGGGTTTAGGGTTTAGGGTTTAGGGTTTAGGGTTTAGGGTTTAGGGCTAGGGTTTAGGGTTTAGGGTTGAGGGTGTTACGCTGTTAGGTGTTAGGGCTACGGATTAGGGTTTAGGGTTTGGGGGAGTTTAAGGGTTTAGGTCTTAGGGTGTTCGGGATTTAGGGTGTTTACGGTGTTAGGGTCTTAGGGTTTAGGGTGTTTGGTTGGGTGTTTGGTTTAGGGTTTTAGGGCTTAGGGTGTTCGGGTGTTAGGGTGTTAAGGTTTTAGGGTGTTAGGGTGTTGGGGGTTTTAGGGCTTTAGGTTTAGATCTGCGGGTTAGGGACTGGTTTCCTTAAGTCCAGGGCTGTTTTAGCATTTGCAAATTTTGCAAACTCTAAAGCCTAAACCCTAATTAGACCCTAAACTACGATGCTTGGGTAACGTTTTCCTTTGCTCTGATCCTGACAAGAGAGGTGTCCATGGACCAGGCCATCCAGGAGACCAGGACACACTACAAGCTGGGCAAGCAAAAGCTGTCGTGAGAGCAAAACAGACCGCCTCCGGTGCCAAACAAGCTTCATCAGGGCTTTAGGGTTTTAGGGCTTCACTCCTTGGTTCTGAGCAGGGAATAAGGGAATGAGGTATACACCTTACATTCCCCGATAAGTACCCTGTCAGGGACTTTATAGGGCACCTCATTCCATACTAAGAAGCAGAAAGTTTAGGGCTTTAGGGCTTTAGGGCTTTAGAGGGCTTTAGGGGGCTTAGGGCCTTCAGGTGGAAGGCTGTCAAAAGGGTGGGCAGGGGGGGGGGGGTTAGTTTTCGGGTCTACAGGGTTTAGGATTTAGGGTTTAGGGTGTGGCTTTAGGGTTTCAGGGTTGAGTCCCAAGTCCCCAAGCCCCAAATCCTAAGCCCCTCTGAACCGGAAGCTTCCAAAACACCAGAAAACACGCCAAACACCCTAAACCCTAAACCCCAAGAATCCTAAGCTGCCCTATAACCCCAAACCCTCTCCTAAACCCTAACCCTACACCCTAAACCCTAAACTCCTATACCCTACAAACACCCTCTACTTCTCCAAAGACCGTAGGCTTGGGTCTCCTCCATCGAGACGGTGAAGAGCGGGCTGCAGGCGACGCTGATCATCAAGCACCCTGGGCTTGAGGGGTTTAGGGTTGAGGGGTTAGGGTTTAGGGTTTAGGGTTTAGGGTTTAGGGTTTAGGGCTTAGGGCTTAGGGCTTAGGGTTTAGGGTTTAGGCTTTAGGGCTCAAGGCTCTGCGGCCGTTTTTTCTTCTTCTCCTCGTGAGGGCTGCAGAGTCCGGGCCTGGACTGATTTTCAAGTGCTGCCCCAGACCCAACCTGGGACCTCCTTAAGCCCCAAATTTGGGATGTTCCAGCAGTCCTCGGTTTAGGGTTTAGAGTTTAGGGGCTATAATAGGGGGTACTATAATGTTAGTATAAGGGGGAACATCCCAACCCCAAAGCCTTAAAGCAGCAAAGCCTGCTAACCAAAGTCCTTAGATTCTTAAGATCCATGAGCCCTTGACGGCTAAACCTTACATCCTTAGGCCCTCGACCCTTGAACCCTAAACCCTCAACCTTAAACCCTAAACCCTAAACCCTAATCCCTAAACCCTAAACCCTAAACCCTAATCCCTAAACCCTTGAACCATCAACACCCGAAACCATGCAAGCCTGAAAGCCGCACACCATGAAACGGGCCACATATAGGGTGGAGGGTTGCGTTTAGCCGATGAACCCCATAACCACTGATCCCATAAGGTTTAGGGTTTCGGGTTTGGGGATTAGGGTTTAGGGTTTGGTGGAGCCCAAAACCCAAAACCTGAAAAGGGTTTGTCCTCCGAGGCACCCGGATGACGGCATGCGCTTCCATGTCAACTTCGACTGGGAGATCCTCCAGTTCCTGGTTGCAGGATAGGGTTTAGGGTTTAAGGTTCGGGTTTAGGTTGTAGGGTTTACGGTTAGGGTTTAGGGCTGGGGGTGTCGGGTTTCGGGCTGTGGCCTGCAGGCACACATGACAAAGCCCAACTCCATAAACTAAACCCTAAACCTAAACCTAAACCTAAACCCTAAACCCTAAACCCTAAACCCTAAACCCTAAACCCTAAACCCTAAACCCTAAAACCCTGAAACCGTCTAGGCTTATCCGAGAGACGCGCTGCCTCGACCGCATGGGTGCCTTGGCAAGGGTTGTGGGGCTTTAGGGCCTTCAGGGGTCTTCAGAGGCCTTCGATTTCTGGGAATTCAGGGGTATTTAGGGTTTCGGGATTCGAGCTTAGGGTGGTAGGGTTTTGGGGCTTCAGGGGCTTCAGGGGCTTCAGTGGCTTCAGGTTTTCTAGGGATTTGGGGGTATTAAGGGTTTGCATTAAGGGTTTGGGGTTTAGGGTTGTAGGGTGTTAGGGCTTCAGGGGGCTTCACAGAGGCTTCAGGTTTTCTAGGGATTTGGGGGTATTTAGGGTTTGGGGATTGGAGTTTTGGGTTTAATTAGGGACTTAAGCCCTATAATGTTAAACTGAAATTTTGAATTTGGGGTAGGGGCTCTTTTCGTCGTTTTTCGGGCTGAGCCCTAAACCTCAAACCTAAACCCTAAACCCCCAAACCCAAACGCTAAACCCTAAACCCTGAAACTTCTCCGACTCCTGAGGTGGCGTCGAGATTCCGGAGTCGGCGAAGATGATTCTGCTGCAGGAGCCCCCCCCCCCCCCGAACCCCGGACAAGGGTAGTTTAGGGTTTAGGGTTGAGGGTTTAGGGTTTAGGTGTTTAGGGTTTACGTGTTTAGGGGATAAGGTACCCTAGACCCCAAAGCCGAAACCTTAAACACCCCAAACCCTAAAAACAGGTTTGTTCAAAAGGCTTTTTGGGGGAGCTTTCTGGTGCTTGAACCTTGGGCTCGACTCATGGTATCCTATACAACTCCCAGGCTTAGCTGCCGTATTCGGCCCCTAAACGCTGAACCCTGACTCAAAGTTCACTCACCACTTTTACACAACATCTACCCCCAACCCCAAACCCCGCACCCCACACCCCAAACCCCAAACCCCAACCCCCAAGCCCCAAACCCCAAACCCCACACCCCAAACCCCACACCCCAAACCCCACACCCCAAACCCCAAACCCCAATCCCCAAACCCTAAACCCTGAACCCTCAACCCTAAGAACCGGGACCCTCATCTACATGATATGCCTGGACATGGGCAATTCAAAACATTGTGGTCCATTCTTGGATACCCGGTAAAGAGGGTCCGTGCCATAACAGGGACTCCACCCTAACTTCACATCCCGCAATCACCAGGAGCAGAAGTTCAAGACGTACAACCACGAGCTCTCCTTCTTCCTGAAGGACATCCCTAAACCTAAACCCTGAGCCTTAGACCCTGAACCCTCCTGTTGCCTAATTCCGAACTCTATATAAACTAAAAACCTCAAGACTCCAACCCTGAAGCCCTAAAACCCTAATCTTAAAGCCTTCAGGCCCTAACGCCCTGAAAGAGCCCTTTACAGCCCCAATGCCAACGGTCCATGATGCTCTTGGGTGTGAGAGTTCTCAAAGGATTACCTTAAACCCCAAAGCCGGAAAAAAAAACGAAAGAAGCTCTATAAGGGAAGCTGGATGCCCCAGTTTCCCGAGCTTTTTGAGAGGTTAGGGGTAGTTTCAGGGACCCTCAGCATGGTCCCTTACCTCCCTTAAAGTGCTCTGCCCTGGTTGTATAGGGTATAAAAGGGGTTTATAAGGGGTTTAAGGGCCCCTATCCAGGGACCAGGTAACTGCCCTAAGAGTGGTGGACGCTTGAAAGAGCTTAGGGGTATAGGGTGTCTAGGTGAGCGGAACATGTGCGGCGGAGGGTGGAGGTTGCATTGGTACCCTGAACCGCCAACCCAAAACCCAAACCCTGATTTCGTTCAATCAGCCTCTACGAACCGAATTGGCAGTTTGAAAGGAACTCTTCTCCCCGGTAAGTCCTTCGTAGCTGTGATCCGAAGCCCCGTCCCCCCCAAACCTCTTGGCTTTCTTAAAGCCCTTGAAGGGTTTAGGGCTTGGGGCTTGGTTTGAGGGTTTAGACTGTAAAGAATTGCATCACCATGCCCGACACCCAAAGTACCTGCATCCAAACTGCCACCTGACCAGGTCGAATTCTCCTTGAAGCTTTAGGGTTTAGGGTTTGGGGTAAGGGTGTCGGTCGTAGAACCGTCCCCTCAGCCCTAAGCCCTAGCCCCTAAACCCTCAGCCTCAATCCTGATCCCTGAATTCCTCACTGAACCCTAAACCCTAAACCCTAAACCCTAAACCCTAAACCCTAAACCATAAACCCTAAACCCTGAACCCTAATCCTCTGGGCATGTGCAGGAGTACCGTCGGGTCACGCAGTCTGTGAAGCCGATTGCCACCAACCTGATGCGACCCCACATGGAGAATTTGGAGTTCAAGATGAGGCAAAGACTTTCGGGGTTTCCTAAACCCTAAACCCTAAACCCTAAACCCTAAACCCTAAACCCTAAACCCTAAACCCTAAACCCTAAACCCTAAACCCTAGACCCTAGACCCTAAACCCTGGAACCCGTGTTTTTTTTTTGGTTGTGGGTGCTTTTTTGCTGTGGGTGCTTTTTTCGGGGGCCGCCCCGGTGAGTGAGTGACCTGGCGTGTGTCGCCCCCGCACCCGCAGCAAAAAAAAACGCGCCCCCGCGCAAAAAAACGCGCACCCGCAGCAAAAAAAAAAAACGCCCCCCCCCCCCCCCCCCCCCTCCTCCCCACCCCCCAGGTCATTTGTTTTGCAATTTCCTCCCCAACCCCGCCCCCAACGCCCCACCTCCTTTAAACTGTGCAAGCGTTTTCAAAGCACTGAATCCTTCCCAAGGCCATCATGCGAGCATTGTGTTTGCAAACGGTGGAGGGAGGGCTGCACCCCGCCCGACCCCCCCCTCTTGAAAACCGTGCCAGCTCGCTTCTCAAAACCCTAAACCCTAAACCTTAAACCCTAAGCCCTAAACCCTAAACCCTAAACCCTAAACCCTAAATTTAAGAGCCTCCGGCTCAAGCCGCCGACCCCGCTGGAGCATAGTTGAAAGGTTTAAACGCGCTCGTCAGCTCAAAGGATGCCAAAAGTTGATTTGCTTGAGCCTCTGTGAAACGTTGGGGGGGGGGGTAGGGGGTAGCACCAGGACCCAAACAGGAGCTGAAGCCAGCTTGATGGTCAGGGCAGCACCCTAAACCCTAAACCCTAAACCCTAAACCCCTAAACCCTAAACCCTAAACCCTAAAAACCCTAAACCTAAACCCTAAACTAAACCTAAACCCTAAACCCTAAACCCTAAACCCTAAACCCTGAACCCTGAACCCTGAACCCTGAACCCTGAACCCTGAACCCTGAACCCTGAACCCTGAACCCCGAACCCTGAACCCTGAACCCCAAGCCCTAAACCCTAAACCCTAAACCCCTAAACCCTACTTAGAAGTACCTATGAACCTTGAAGCCCGAACCCCTAATCCTCAACCCTGCACTGTCGTTTGTTTTGGGTGAGGAT